CTATAGACAGTAATACATGTATTGTATTAGATATTTATCCCAGTATATCTGATGGTGTCTTCTCTGCAGGCGGACGCTTCAAGAAGGAGATCGTGGTGGACGGGCAGAGCCACCTGCTGCTCATCAGGGACGAAGGGGGCCCCCCGGAGGCTCAGGTAGGAACTGCACCTGCAGGGAATTACACACCATAACATATAACAAGTATAATTTAATAAAGATTTAAATTATTATTTTGTACTATTTAAATCTGTAACAGCAATTCAATCATCCACACACATTTCTGGGCAATTATGTTCTAATTCTTTTTACATAGACAAAAATGTGCACATAAATGACAGAAATACCCCCAAAATGTGTCAGATAAATCAAATACATCGAATATTTTTTCTGTGTTTTTTAAACAAATTTCTCGGATTTTTCTTGCAGCTATTTAAAGGCTAATTTCCCTTCTTGAAATCCATATTTTAAAGTCATTTTCCCACATATTTTACAGTAGTTTTCACATAGTTTTCGGACATTTATCCACTTTTTTATTGGAAATGTTTAACATATCTTTGGGCCGTTTTTCGCATAATTTTAAGTTTTTTTTTGGAATGTTTTTAAACTCCTGAAAAGCAGCGATTTTATGCAATTTATAAAAACAGAATGATTCATTTTTTAATTGTTAACAACCAAACTTTTATGGAAAAACTGGATTCAAAAAGCTCTCGATGAACCTCTCACTGATATGAAGTCAGGCTGGAGGCAGCGTGGCGCTGGAGAGGAAAGTGGGTCGGCTCAGGGTTCATATCAAACTGACCCCAAGAAGTCTAGACAGAAACTCCACGGTTTATTAATAATGAACCCCCTCTTCCTCACCTCTCATCTGCCCGGTAACAGCAGGGAAGGGTCTCTTTACCCCTCAAGAAGCAGACTGGAGTTATTTTATATATTTAAATAAACATGTTGTTTTAAGGGTTTTCAATCAAGTTTTGTGTGCACAGTTTGCTCTGTGGGTGGACGCCGTGATCTTCGTCTTCAGTCTGGAGGACGAGATCAGCTTCCAGACGGTTTATCACTATTTCAGCCGACTGGCAAACTTTAGGAACGCCGCCGAGCTGCCACTGGTGCTGGTGGGAACTCAAGGTAAACACACACACACACACACACACACACACACACACACACACACACACACACACACACACACACACACACACACACACACACACACACACACACACACACACACACACACACACACACACACACACACACACACACACACACACACACACAGGCTTTCTCCTTCTCTGTGTCTCTGCTGCCTCCCGGTGGTGTGTTTGTAACTGTGCATATTTATCCAGTTTTTTTTATCATATTTGGGACAAAACAATAAATACAAATGTAATAAATTGCACGATAAATATTTTTTTAAATGCTTTATTACATTTGGGACACAAATAAAACATTTAAAATGAAAGGAATGGATGAAAAATGGGAGAACATTTCCAATAAATGTGAAATTTTCCACAAAACATGACAGACAAATGTGAAGTTTCTCTTCTCTCACACTTTTTCTTGATGAGTTTATAGTTAAAAAATAATAATGTAATATTTATTCTGTCGAGCCACAGACCCGTTTGGGAAACACAGTTCATTTCAATGACACACATTGAACAGCAGGTGGCGCCAGAGTTACACTGTTTGTTTCTAAGGGTCTCTATTTTACATCATTCTTTTTTCTCATTTATATTGAATATATTATTCTCCGCTCTTTATTTACACATATTTTTTCGGATAATTAAAAAAAGAAATTCCAGCCTTTTTTAAAATATTTTCACATATTCTTTTAGCCTTTTTTAACATACACTTAGATCTTTTTTTAAATCTTTTTCCATAAATAAATATCCTGTTCTTTAACACTCCTGTAAACGTGTTTCCTCTCCTCTCTCTCCTCTCTCATCTCCTCTCGTCTCGTCTCCTCTTGTTTCCTCTCCTCTTGTTTTCTCTCATCTCCTCTCGT